GATGATTATGCAATTGTTATGAAGGTAGCAGAGCATGCAAAAGTCTTTTTCCATTAACGTGTTGTTTTTATGGATTTAAGATTTTGGCTGGAACTGGTTCTGATACAATCTAACATTTAGCTTTTGTCTAGGTTAATACAGTATTGAAGTAGGTTGTCACTGAACATTGAAGAAGGCTTTAAAGGCTATTCTCTGAAGTTAATTATCTACTGGGGTGCATTACAAAATTACTTACTTTTAACTAGAAAATTAGAGAATTTATCAGAAAAGTTAATATTTTAAAGTATATAGGGACTCACAGCTGTAGCTAATTACAAGCCAGTAAGCTTGTTTGCAGACAAAGTAACAATGTGGTTAATAAAAGACTCAAAAAATGGAGATTGGAAAAGTAATTTCTGCAATATCTTTGTCATTTCACAACTATGTGAGATTGCCTGAAGGAACTGGCCTTTTTGGCCCCTTGCTACAGAGATATTTTTAATCTGTTTTATTAATTTAATCTTTTTGATCCTAGCTACAGTCTCAGTCATTTTCAAAATTACTGTCCTCCAAGTAATGGTTTTGTTATTGGAGGAAATAAAAGGGCTGTATGCAGGTTTTCCCATTCAATGTCATGTGCGTTTATTAAAAGGGCAGCAAATACTTTAAAAGCCCATATATAACTATATAACTATATGTGGTTATATATTATTTATAACTAATGTAAACTATGTATTATAAGTCATTCTTTCCAAATGCAACTTGAGAGAAGGTGCATAAAAAAGCCTAAACTTTTGAGGAGTGACATTTTTTATCATGAAAGATTTGTCCTGTGTCTCCTTCAGGAACTTCTGCTGATATTGAATGCTCCAGTAATCAAAAACATCAACAGAAGTCCATTGATGTTTATGGCAGTGTGGCTAACAGAAGGCTCTGGAGTAGACTCAGTCATAACAACAAAAGTGTACTCATACCTGTGTAACTTGTTTTGCGTAAGAGATGGATTAATTTTTACTGTATCAGCATAAAACACTACTTTGCTATTACAACTTTGACCAGTCCAGGAATGCACTATGATGTACTATATCAGTGCACGTAGTGTAAACATTACCTTGAAGAACCTAGTCTTAGTTTGAAAAGATGACTATGCTGAAATATCTACTGTGCACAGGTACAGGAGCAAATACATTGTAATACATGGTACAGAAGAGGCTTTTTATTCTAGCAGGAATGGTATAATGAGAATGAGGGGGTGGAAACTTAAGCCAGAAAATTCAAATATGAAATGAGATACACATGTTCAACTGTGAGGGTGATACGCTTTAGCCAAACACAACTTACTGAGCTTAGTACAGAGGGAACTCAGTGAAATGTAATGGTCTGTGATATGCAAAGGGTCAGGTTCTATGATCTAATCATTTCTTCTGGCCGAAATCTCTTCATAAAAAAATCTAGCTCAACCATAACTTACAGCTTAAAGAGAGGAATTGCTGCATGAAATTCAATGACTAGCGCTTGTAGAAGGTGCAGTTAGAAGTGTCCGTTCTGGCTTTATAGTCTATGGATGGATTAATGTGTTAAAGTAGCTTAAGGGTGCAATACATGCTAGCAAAAGCCGTAACAGAAAGAAACTCCTGTTGAAGTGCTTTCAAATAGTGTAGCCTGTGGACATCACAGCTATGTCTACACCAGTATTTAGTGTGGTCTGACAGAAACACATTTGTTGAGTGAAACAGTTGATGATCCCGCGTCCCTGCTCCACGGGAATGGTCTTTACTTTGTGCTGGTTGTAGGCTGATCCCATGGGCTGAATGCCTCTTATCAGGTAGAATGCATTAGAGCACGTTTTCCAGTTTGTGCAAGCTGAGACTTCTCTGCAGTGTAAACCAACACATGGTAAGTGGTGATGAGGGAGATTCATTAGAAGGAATGCTCTCGATCCAACAAAAGACGTTAATATGGTCTAATCCTATAGCAGCTTTCACTTTAGAAACTGTGCCCATACCTAAGATATTTTCATACATGTCCAGCATATACAATAAAGCAGCGTGCTCTTACTTTCCTAGAAATTTTGTTAGAATACAAAACCTTAACTGAGACTTGATATTGTAAATTGTCTAATATAGTAGTAAGCCTCACCAGTTGGCTGTTGAATGATGCGTATTGAACTTGTTGAGGCTGAAGATGAGGGTTTCTTACTACAATATATAACGAAAATGCAGTAGTCGTATGCTGTAGTTGTCTTGCAGGCAGAATGTGGGATCATGGAGTCTTTCAGTGAAAAGTTGTGACATGTAGTAGGAAGATGTTACATTAGGTGCACGCATTAGGTGTACATTTCCTTTCTTTAAAGGTCTCGTAAATGTGAGAGATGCACCAAAAATGTATTCCTTGTTTTGAACTAAGGTAGTTCTGTGTGTCAATTTAGGCGATGGTATATAAATTTATTCTGGTGACAGCTCTGCAATGGGTTGTTCCAAAGAAGGCAAAGGGGCTAAGTCCCTAGAAGAGCTCCAGATGTTACTGATTTTTTTCTTGTTATTAGCAATTACTCACTTGGAATTGTCTAGCAGTTTTTCTTTTTAATAACAAACTGTGGAAGAGTCAGCAGAATCATGACCAACCAGATCATGAAACTTGCCAGTGGTAAGAACATGTACAAGCTTAAAAAGAGGAAGCGTTTCCAACAAGCGCTGATTTGGATTTACTCATTTTTTTTGTTTTATAAAGAAGGATTTTTTCCTGCAATGTTTGTACTTAACCAGTGCCAGCTGTATTCTTCAGAAACTGTAATATTCCTTTAAATGTAATTTTATTGCCTAAGATACTGCTCCATCCCCGAAGTCATATTTTATATTTTAAACTGTTTGTCTTTTAAGATGTATTTATTGTCGTGTTTGTTTAACTTGGTTATCTCCTTCATCAATCTATTTCTTGCTAACTTAAAGCTGCTGCTCTTTGTTTTTAGTATAGAAGGCTGCTTCCCTAGGGATGTATAGTCCAGGACTTGTCTCTGTAATGGGACTATTTGTTTTCTTTGCCCCTTGCAGTTGCCTGCTGTAACATTTGTAGTATGTGTTAAGTAATCCTTGAGGTAACATTTTTATTATGTCATAAAAAGTGCGTGGCAAATATATAATAACTCATGGAATTTGTTTGTTTAAAATGGAAGGATAATTTATTGAGTGTGTTACATGAGACCTGCTCCCCCTTATTAGAGCTGTAGAAGTGCAGCTTATTTAGAAGTATGTTCTATTGAGAAAAACCACGATCTCTGACATGCATAGAAAGTTGATCATGGTTGGGTAGAAATGACATCATAGTTTATGTACTCAATAAAAATTTAATTAAGTCATTACAGAAGTTGCAGTCATCATTTAACCCTCTGATTTCTTATGTTTAGTTCTTTTTTTAAACATTCAGTAATAACCAGTTTCCAAATCTTGATAGCCTATAAAATATCTGCATGAATTTTAATAGTTTATATTAATGGAAAAATATGAGTAACTGACATAAAAGGAATTTTCCTTGTGTTTGCACTATATGCATTTCTGTAAAAATCAACAGATGAAAAAAGATAGTGGTCTAATGGAAGAATATTTGAACTGGAGATTTGCTAGCATGGCAAAAACTAACTCATATTTTTATAGAAAAGCTGTTGCATAATTACCAAGGTGAGTACTCTTAAAGATACTAAGAAAATGTTTAGGACATGTGGTTCACATTGTCATAAGTATGAAGATTTTAGATATGTGAGTTTTCACAGCTTTTCTTTAGCCTTATGATAAGCTGTACGTCAAAGTCAGCAGTGCTTATTCCATAGTAGAACTGATGTCCTACCCTGTGTTCCTGTTTGCAGTTTCTTTTTTTGTAAAACCTGTCTCCAAGATGCAGTCTCATACATAAGTGTTCTGCTAGCCTGTAGGTATGAAGATAATGATCCTTGTCATTTATACTTACGTTGTATGTGAGACCTGTAGAAAAGAAATGCTTAGTATCTCTTAGATCTCTCATGAGAGTCAATACAAAGAAGAAGCTCTACCAATTGAAGTGTAGCTTAGCCGTCAGGAGAACAACTACTTATTAAATCATTTTGTCGATAAAAGTAAAAAGTACAGGCAAGAGGAATAGACAGTTTGTATGAGGGAGATGCACGTGAGGTATTTCAGCCATCACTCTGGAACTAGCAGTTGATCTCTCTTGGTTCCGTCTTAAGCTCACATGGGGTCAGTTCTGCAAGCCAACGGGTGGCTTAGGCCAAACCAGCAAATACTTAAGCAACTGTTAAATTTAGTTAAAAGTCACTGTGAAACCTGGACTGAGTCACACTTACAGCATAGGGGCAAGTAGCTGGATCATCACAAACTCTGAAAGAAATTTAGTCATAGTCAAAAAGTAGTAAGTCTGAGCTTCTAGTGAGATGCTGTAGAAACAGAATTCATGTGATTCCTGAATGAGAAAGTCAATATTGACAAGTAAGTAAGGAGTAGTGGTAGGGATGTTGCCTCTATCTTTAGCATTACAGTACTTTTACTGGAATAGCACATTGAGCTCTGGAGTCCATGCTTTAGAAAAAAAGTTGAAAAACCTTCATGTTTCTAAAAGACCTGTGTGAGTGAATCAAGGTCTGGAAAACCTGCCTAATAGTTAAAATACTGATGATGAAGACTCATTATCTTAGCCTATGCTGCAACTGAAAGGACAGCCTTGCCTTCAGTCTTTCCCCAGCTGCATTTTTTTCTCTGCTCATGTAGCTATATGTCAGTGTTGTTGGCTGAGGATTTTTCTGCCATTCATATATTCTGAGTAACACTAACTTTCATTTGTGTACAGAATTAACGGAGCTGTATTGCATGTTGTTCTAAAATGTTTGACTGCACTAACATCGTTACTTACAGCCAAATCCTTACCTATGTGGGCCAAGGCACTGTTTCTTCTTTGCCTACTCAGAGTGAAACTGATATTTTCTCATCACCTCCTCTTTAGAGCCCATACAGATGGTTTTCTGGTTTATTTTTCAGATTAATTCTGTTGTTCTAAAGGAAGATTTGAGAAGTATGGTAGAAAATTTCTATGCAGCTCTATTTGGATATGATGAGGTAAGAAGGATGTTTTCAGAGAATGTGCAAGAACAAATAAGACCATCTAATATATGAACACAGAATACTCCAGATGAGTAAAACATATGCCATACATATCTTTGGAGAAATGTTACGTTATGGAAGCAGACTTCTTAGTTATTGCGATCATCTCATGCCTTGATTTAAAGTGCTTTTAAGAAAAAAGAAAGCACACAGCATATTGATATAAACCATGGGACATGGAAGGAGGGATATTCTTTGTACTGCTTCACCGTCACTGCTTGACCATCAATAATTAATTTCCTCCCTCTGAATCCCATTGTACTCAGCTGTACTTTGAAAGCAAAGAGAGTATTTATAGGGAGTCTGTGTGAGAGGGTATTTATAGGAAGTATCTAATAATATGGGGAGACAAAAGCACCACTGTGCACAAGTGTCTGCAGGCCTTTAAAGAAGAAAATATAATTACATCATCTCTTTCGGTGGTTATTTTTTTGCTCTGTTGGGTTTGCTCTTCAGATGCTCTTCTTATTCGCATGTTGATATTATTTTTTGCATGATGATTTGCATTATTAATGTCTTGTAAAAGTAAACTTCATAGAGTTGTGGGCAGTGTTACGCATGCAAGTCTTTAATCTAGTTTTAAGTATAGCCAGGATGTGTCAGCCTGTGTCTGTCTGTCTTTTTTTTTTTCTTTTCTCTTTTTGTTGACACTTTTTTTGGAAACAAAATGCCTAGTTAAATTAAAGACAAACGTTGACCTTTTTTATTTTTAGCTGAATATTTTGAAGTCCTCTATTGCCTTTGGCAAATGTGTCTGCAGAAGACAGGAGTTATGAGACTATGGTGATAATGCCACATAATCTAAAAAAAGACAATAAAAGTGGGAGCGAATTTAGACAAAAAGTGCTCATGGATGTGATTCTTGTATAAGCCAAATTTAATATTAGATTTAACTGGAAAAATCTAGATAGTTCTTGATGAGGAGGAGTTGTCTCTCATTTAGAATGAAAAATAGAAAAGCAAAGCAAAATAGCAAAGTCCTGACTACGTTTCTGCAACATTGTATTAAATATCCTATATTTTGCTTTTCCAAGTGTCATGGCCTTTACACAATTCTGTGAGGTGGTGCTGTCTTCTCTGTAAGGCCAAAATTTTTATGGTAAAGATTTCATAACATAGAAATGCAATTATCGGCTTCTACATTAAGAATACCCTGACCCAGTTTTTTCCCAAATTAACTTGCCAGAATATTTGTTACAGGCTGCTCTGTAAATTAATTTAAGTCCAGGGTTGTTTTTCCATTC